CGACGCGGTGACTCGTCGACGCGAGTAGACGCTCGTCGGACACGGGATTCCGGCTCGTTCGCCGTCAAGTGTCGCTGGCGGCGATGGAATTGGTGGTGGTGGTGGTTGTATCGATGGTGGAGATCGCGGACCACGGCGGGGTACGCGACGAAACGCGCAGCCGGAAGAAACGAACGGGACGGCAGGAACGTGAGAAGCGGAAGGAGAAGGAAAAACGGCCGGTTAAGGAGGAGAAAAACCGCAGGAAGTTTCGACGTTTTCGGCAACGACGTATGGCATTGCTCGGCCACGCGGCGATACTTTCGATTGTCCTCGAGAAAGGATCCGCCATAGAGGAGGTCGGGGGGAACGCGAGCAGCGTGAAATACAGGTTTTTTCTATCGGTAGCCAGAGCTCCGTCGTAAAGGACTTTGGATCTACGATTCCGTCGGACCTTCTTCCGAACGGACGAAGGGTTTTCGAGGGCAAAGCCCTCGAGGAGGAAGGTCGGTACGAACGAGAGGGCGCGTGGCAAACGTAGATAAAAAAAAAGCTGGAAAGAGAGTCGGAATGCCTGGAAACGGAACGAAAACGAGATAAAAGGCATTCGAAGAAGAAGAAAAAGGTAAATCACGGTATCGAACGAGAGCGAGAGAAGCGTGCACGGTGAACGCGCGCGAGCTGCGTACGACGACTTTCGAAGCCGGATGGAGGAGGGTATTTCGAGGTTTACGGAACGAACGCTTCGTTCCGAACGATAGAATGAGAAAGGGAGAAAGACGCGTACACGAATGGAAAAATCGAAAAGACCGGCAACGTCTATCGCTAATAATAACGATAACAATAATACAATAATAATTAAGTAATTAATTATGATAAAGAATTAACGACGGTAACGGTAACGATGACGAGGCCGATGATAGAACGATGCCGATAATGAAATTACGATAACAACGGTGATCGAAGAATAATGAAATAAAATACTAGTTAACGAATAATAATAATGATGCTGATGATGCTGATGAATAACGAGGTAAAATAATAACGGTTAAATAATTAAAAGAAAAGAAAAAAAAATGAAGAAACCATGAAGTAACGTTAACGTTTACGATAGAATGATTACGATACAGTTATTATTACACGTTCGATGCGTCCCACATAATACACGCACACACACGCGCACACACATATACACGACACGTATACACACGTACACGAGGAGTATTAATTATTTCGAAGAAAAAAAAAGACGCAGGAGAAGAGGTAAAAATGAAAAAAAAAAATAAATAAATAAATAAAAAAGTTAAAGGTGCGAACGAGCGAACGAAGAAGCGAGAGAGTACGTGGACAGCGTGATAGAATTCGAGCGCGAAAGAGAGAACGAATGCGAGACAGCGAGAATGCGATTAAAGGTGACTCGAGAAATGATACGCGCGAGAAGCGAGCATACATTCGCGTATTAAGGCATTAAACGATTAAACGAGACATTTAAAGAATATACAAAAGAAAAAAACATGACGTAGATAGATAGCATTTCGGTCGTGAAGGGAAAATAAAGGGAAAAAACGGAAACGAGGGAACGCGATGGAACACGTAGTCGACCATCCTTGCATCGACATTTCGTAAGGAATCGTAGAAATGGCAACAGAGAATAAAACACGACTTTATCGAGGTATAATATGTGTTCGTTTAGACATTACAATAAATAACTACTATGTTAACTTAGACACGTAACGGTACGAATCGAGAGAGAACGAGGAACAGAGAGGATAAAACGAATGAATGACACGAAAGAGAACGCGAGAGGAACTTATGGTAGAATGCATGATTAGTAGAGAGCGCGTGAAAACAAACGAGAGAATACGAGGAAATATAAAGAAGGCGAATAGGGCAACGTTCAGTAGATGAAGAAGAAAAATCGTAGGAAACCGATGAATTTTTTTATAGAAAAATATTCTGAAGAAGTTACGAAAATAGGTGTATGAAAAAAAAAATTAATAATAATAATAATAATAAAAATAATAATAATGAAAATAATAATAATAATGAAAATAATAATAATGAAAATAATAATAATTAAATAAATAATAATAATAATAATAATAGTAATAACGATAACAATACTGTTTTTGGTACTCTTCACTGCACAGCGTTCGTGACGAATTTTCATCTCGATATTCGCAATAAATTTCGCGTCGATGCTCGCCGCAAAATCGCGTTGATAGCCACGAGCGCAGTGGTTCCACGTTTCAAGAAATTCGAAACTTTCGGAAACACTTTCTAACACAAAGAATATTTGGATATTCTTTTCTTAAAAATCTCTCACCGCGAACGTATCGATTTAAATCGGCGACGAGCAAAATCCAATTGTACGTATTTCGTATAATTTTCCAAGTTCTTTAGACCAGCTTTATTTTAGAAAGCAGCCCCGCAAAAGCGAGCCACGGCCCTGCATGGAGGAGAACGATATCGAATCCGTCTCCCCACTCTTGACCGCGCCCTCGCGCCGACAATTATTGCTCGTTGCTGATTTAAATAATAAAAATCGAAGAAAACATTGAACCATCGAAATGAATCGATACGCGAATCTTAAAAATATACGCGTGTCGATATTCGGTAACCGTAGAAACGAAGTCTGAAGATCGTTAAAGTTACTATAGTCGGGCAAAAAGGTGTATTTTTTACCAAAATGTACATTTTTTCATTGGAATCGCGTGAACGCTGCGCAGAGGAAGAGTCGGATAATACAGAGAGAAAGAAACGTAGAGAATCGTCGTCGTCGTCGTCGATGTGTCGTAACTGCAAACAAAAATAATTATGCGGAATGATGGGAGCGTGTGACACACGCGCGTACACGTATACACACGTGACACGTGCACGCATACAGGTACACGATCCGTGTTCGCGATCGAGAAATACGGAAAGAAAGGAATTGGTCGCCGCACGTGCGTTAATTATATTGTTAAACATTGTCCAATGCATAATTGTTATTAATTTACATTTGTAAGACGAGGACGGGAATGGGTAGCAAGCGAGAGCGGAAGAGCGAAAGTACGCGTGTCCGAGTGCGATCGAGGCTGATTGAACCAGAACGAATGAAAAGAGACGAGAAACGATCTTGAAAATTGCTAAGAATTATCGAGAAGGCGTGTGCTCACCGAGGCGAGAAAAATACATACATAAACGCTAGAAATATACTAATACATAGATAGTATAACAAAACTGACGAGGAGAGACAAAACGAATGAAGAACTAAGGACCGGATTTTTTCTTTTCTTTATATACTCTGGGCCGCAACGGTGACTTTTCTTTCTTAATCCGTAGTCGTTTCTACGCTCTCTCGTTACGCTTCGACCGAATCGTTTCGTTAGTATTTAATAAAGTGGAGTGACGTGTTCGGTAAACGCTGATTTATACAGCTATGCCAAGCGAGAGAATTTCTTCCCGCAACTCCTTATTCTCTGGTCGGAAAAGCCATGGATAACAATCAGCAAGGTCTAATCTACGCTAGTTATCGTACCGCTAGCTTTCCCTGATGTAAACTAGGCCTAAGACTCGGGAAAGTGCTACGAAAACCCCTTGCGTAGACGACAGAGTACTCGATCGAGCATTAGATACAGTGTTCCAAGGAAAAACTTTTTATTTCATCTACTACCTATCTACCTATATATTATCTCTACTTCCGATCTTAGCTCTCGCTTGGCAAGGCCGTGAGTTCCGTTCTAGTAACGAAGAAATTTTCAACGGCGGTTGAAGCAACGATACGAAAACGATCATTTCTTTCTCTTCTGATCCAACAGTCACGGGTAACGGAATTCTCCTTATACGTAACGATAATGAAAGATAGAACGCGAAGCGACGAAAAATGCGATTCGGTAAAATTTCTACTATCGGAACTAACAGGTAGACCGATAATAGAGCGACAACTTTTTCCATACTAAACTTTCGATACTTTCTCTATTCTTTTATATTCTCTATTATAGTTCGCCGTTGTTTAACATATTCGCTATTTTAACCACGCGCTTTCGTATTGACACGTGAAAAAAATGATGATTCGGTCGCTACGTTAGTATACATATAGGAGGAAATAAGTATCGTCTCGATTAGGTAAACGACGAGTTTTAAATACGTATACGGTAAAAATGATAAAACGTTCGAAGAGATACGTTATCCGATAATAGAAGTTATACCGTAATCGAAACCGTTCGAATGAAAGATTGCTTGACTCGCGAAAAAATTTCCCTTTGAAAGATGCCTTTGGTCTTTTTGCTACGACAAAAGAGTAGGCTATACTGGCGTTAAATTGATTTTACAGGAAAAACAATATTCGCCAAGTTCAGCAGGCTTGGAAACGTTTCGATCGTCGATTATGCTGCTCGACTTCCGGTCGGTTTCCTTCTTGGCAACCCTTGGAATCTTCGGACAAACCGTAAACCGATCGAATGGCTTTTCAACTTTGTCGTTCTCGCTCGTTCGTTCGTTCGTTTGTTCGTTCATTCGTTCGTTCCTTCGTTCGTTCGTTCGTCCGTTTAGAAAATGATAAGCAATGTTCTTGGACCAGTAACGAAGAAACCAAAGAAACTACCGATCGCGCGTAATAAGTAGAAATTTCACGCGGTCGATTTCGATACGATTCTCCGTACGAGGATCAATGCGAAAATCACGGGAAATTTACGAAATCGTTGCTCTGAAGCCTGCTCTACGCTTGCGTGCAGATGTTTACGAAACAAACGTTTAACCGCGTATAAACTAATTTGTCATTGCAGAGATGGATGCGACCTCTTCGAACAAATTCGTAGTTGGTGCTCTTCCCCGAAAAGAAACATATATTATACGAAAGAATAATATGAAAAGTTTTCTATGCAAATGATCGATTAAAAAAAACGTTATTCGTCGATGTTAATTTAAGTTATTAATTATGATCGTACGACGACGCAAAAGCCGGACGATCGTTTGCGTCGAAAACATCGATTTTCCAGCCTCGACGCTTAAAACGTTTTAAACGAACGTTCGCAAACAGACTTTGACATTTGTTTGAGCGTTCGCGGACAAATGTGCTCGTAGATTAGGCTTTAGATCGAACGTGTCGTTTCAAGTTTTCCTTCGGTAAAAGGACCTATCTAACAAATGTTCGCGTTCTCTTCCGATCGATCTCGAAATCCTACTCTTTTTCCATGTCCGTGCCACGGATATTTTTTCCACGGATCGTCGTTTCTTAGAAAGGTCTAAATACGTTTCCACGCGACGTTGAATCACACCGATTTTATCGGTATCACGCGAAATGCCTTGATTTTTATCGTCGCGAAAACCAAAAGTCGCGTCGTTACCTAACCAATTTCCAGCGTCGCGTAAACTACGCGAAAATGTCCGAGTATCGCGTCTCGTTTTAACAACGACCAACGCTCTAAACGTCGCGTAAGAACGTATCTTCCATCGCGAACAATTCTCGATCGCGTTTCCATTCGCGACGTTTGAAATTCCTCGAAGAAGCAACATTACGAGTTTCTGGACAAACGGCAAATATCGTGAATAATCGAGGCGAACAATCGCGTTGATTACCAAGACTCGACTCGTTCGCGAACAAATTCACCGAACGTCTCGGATTTCTGTGTGTAAAAGAAGAATTAATTTGTCGCGAATATTGTATCCGAGATAGAAAAGAAAATAATAAGCCTGGGATATGGGTTAAAACGCGATAATATCTCGTTGCGCTTAAAGAGACCGTTAAAAGCACGGCTACCTCGAAAGCAGAGCCTGTTCCTTTGATCTCCTACACTTTTTATGATTCTCGTTGGAAATTAATCTTGGCCTCTGCCCTTCTGTCCTTTCGTTTTCTTTACTTTCCTCTCTGTTTTTCTCGTATCGACGTGGAACGCGAGACAGAATAGAAATCTGTGGCCGCGATTCGACAATTTTCTAATCGAACAACAGTTTAGACGTTAGAACATTGATTCAGACGTTAAGAAACGCTCTCGTCTTAAATATAAGCAAATTCATCATTTTCATACTTCATTTTGCTCGATCTTTATTCGCCTTTCGAAAGAAGTAACCCACAGAATATTTCCGTTCCACTAATTTTTCTTGCTCGTTTCTCTCGTCGAAAGCGTCGAATTTAACGAGACACTATCGACGTGTAAAAGAGTCGGACTTGGTGGACGCGCGAATCATTCGAAGCTCGATAAAACAACCTTGACTACTATAAAGCCCCGAAGGAAGGTCGCGAAAGAGAGAGTGGTCGGTACGAGGGAAAGAGAATGCTCGATAGATTTGAGAGAGAAAGGAAAAGGGGAAAGAAGAATGCTGCGACAAGAAGAGGGGCGCAGTAGATCCAGTAAGTGGGAAAGTCCCGAAGAGACGAGCTGCTTGGGCTTTTCGGTTCGAACCAGCCACCAAAACACACGGAGATAAAGTATTGAAACGGTGAGAAGGTGTACGTGAGTGCGTGTACGTACTCGTGTGTGCGTGCGTCTTTGCATACACGTGTGCGTATGTGTAACAGAAAGAGAGCGAGAGAAAGTGTGTGTGTGTGTAGAGAGAGAGTGAGAGAGAGTGTGAGAGAGAGAGAGAGAGAGAGAGAGAGAGAGAGAGAGAGAGAGAGAGAGAGAGAGAGAGAGAGAGAGAGAGAGAGAGAGAGAGAGAGAGAGAGAGAGAGAGAGAGAGAGAGAGAGAGAGAGAGAGAGAGAGAGAGAGAGAGAGAGAGAGAGAGAGAGAGAGAGAGAGAGAGAGAGAGAGAGAGAGAGAGAGAGAGAGAGAGAGAGAGAGAGAGAGAGAGAGAGAGAGAGAGAGAGAGAGAGAGAGAGAGAGAGAGAGAGAGAGAGAGAGAGAGAGAGAGAGAGAGAGAGAGAGAGAGAGAGAGAGAGAGAGAGAGAGA